AGACCTTGGGTAGACTGGACCTTGAGAGATTTGGCTCTGTATAGACTTCTTGTGTGCCCTTGGCACAAGTCACTTGTAGAGGAACAGATCTTCAGACCATTGAACAGATCTTCAGACAATTGAACTTCACCCAGTTGTAAATAAAGCACCTCTCCCAGAAAGGCACCCAGTCTGCATTGGAAGACATTGGAAGATAGAGAATTCACCACTTCCTGTGGGAGTTTATTTCAGTGATTAATCACCCTCACTGTCGGAAATTAGTGCTGTATTTCTATCTTGCTTTTGTCTGGCTTCAGCTCCCAGTCATTTGAATCTGCCCTGTGCCACTATCTCCATCTGTAAAATTGGAGTAAAAGTGACCTGTCTTAGTGATTGTGGATAAGTACCCAGACAGATTGCTCCTCCACAGGGCCTGGGAGGTAATAACCATATACCAGAAATAACAATGCTGATGGGGGCAGGGATGCAAAATATGCAGAGTGCTGTTGAAAAACTCAAAGTCAGCTGGGGCTGGGAGACTGCAGGGAAGTAGATGCATTTGCATTGATTAATGGTGACAAGAAAGCTCAGTGGCAATTTTGGGCTGCGTACAAATACAAGAGTCTCTGGAGCAGGTTGGTGACTGGGCTTGGAGGGTATTCTTTCCTTCTGGAAACCAGAAACTCACATGCAGGAAAAGGCCTTGAGTTCAGGGGTGGTTGATTTAAAAAGAAAGGTGGTAAACACTAAGTATGTGGTGTTTGGGTAAGCAGGGCTCCAGAGAACACAGTTGTTGAATTAATGTAAGGGGTACAAATGGAAAGGGATGGTTTAGGGGTGTCCCGTGGGGAATAGCAAGGAATTGTGGGTTAGATTGAAGAGGACTATTGAGTCTGAATCACATCAAGCACTTCCTGATGGGGAGGTGGATAACTTCCCATGAGGAATGACCCACTGGCTGAGGTGTAAGAAGCCAGACAGCACAAGCCAATGTAAAACAGTGCAGTGAACAAACCTGTGCTGACAAGAAATTGGGGTAGGTAGCCAGAGGCATCTTTCCTACTTCTGTGGGCCCGATCGTCTCAGTAGCTGCATGTTTCTGGATCCTGAAAGTCCTCCCCTTCTCTTACCTCCAGTGAGTGCTTCACATGCTCTGTACTTCCCAGGAGGCTCAGCCTCTTGCCTGACTGAACTGAATAGCAGCAGAGCCCCACCTGGTACAAGTTGAGAGCTGTCCTGGGGCAAATGAGTGCAGGTGATGAAGGATAGGTGCTCCAGCTATGCCATATCCCTCTTGGACACTATGCTGTCACTTTGGGAATAGCACAGCTGTGGACCAAACAATGATGCTGCCCAGTCAAGTTAAAGCAGTTGCAACCCTCTCACACCAAGTCATAAACTGGCTCCAAGTGGCTAGATTCTGGGGGCCAGCACTGCAGAGCCTTGAATTCTACAAAGCCAGACTATTTCTCTCTTTCCCATCTAATCTAATGCAGAAACTTCCTTGGCGATGAGAGATCAGTTTACTGAGCGTCAGTTAATTGAAATATTATTCATTAAGTATGAGCTTTGACATGGAATCAAAGGAGAGACTTTAATGGCAGGAGCAATGTTTGTGTAGTGGGCTCTGGGAGATGGACTTCAATGAGATGCTTAAATTGTTCCTAACCTACTGCCTTCCCTGCGCGCGTTTTCTTCACCAGTGAAAGAGAGAAAAATATATCCCTCCAACACCTTTCAAGACAATCCCCCTCATTTACATCAAAGCAAATGAGTTTGTTTTAATGTAATGAATGACCCTGGATGGTCTCATCTCCTCTTTCTTAGTGGTGATCATTCAGAGACAGGCTCCCCCCTCCAAATAACTGTCTCCATCCTATCCCAAGCAGCAGCAATTCACTAGTTAAGAAATAAATCAATAAGCAGAGTTAATGAATTGAAGATGCATGTGTTTAAAATATATCAGGGAAAGTGGCTAGCTGTTTGTGTCTTGTTTCATTATTGTAAGGACAGGAAGAGAGATCGCGTTTCTGAGAAATACCTTCTCTGAGATATTTGGGTCACTTGAAGCTGAGTGAGAGATGTATTAACTTCTAAAAACATGGCATGGGTGCCAGATGAGCAGCTTGGCATTCTTCTCCCTGCTGTGCACATATGTGGAAGTGGGACTCATTCACACAAGTCAGATTGGTAGGGTGAAGTGTCTATGCAGCTAGAGTTGCCACCCGTCTTTTTTTCCCACATCAGTCTGGATTTCCAGCTCTCACTCTCTTAGACAGACTCTACTGAAAAGGTACAGAGAGAACTGATAAGAGCTTGTTCAGGACATTAACTTTAATGGTAGACAGTATTACTCATAGGCATGAGGAAAGGTGATTTGGTTGGTACATGGAGAACTAGTATGGCCTGGAGCAGGTGTTGGAAATATTTTAGGAGCAATAGGCCAAAAAGACCCAGCTCAGCCTCAGATCCAGCAATGGCCCTTCCAGTGCAGCCACCAACACTGCTGCTTCCCCGTCACCCAGGCAATGCCCCCTGCTACTGAAACATCATAGAAACTCTGGCTTCATGGGCCAAATATGATCACTGTCACAAGCCCTAGGTTGCCAATCCCTGGTCTAGAAGATGGGGCACTGCTGTTAGCTCCCAGCTCTGCCACTGACCTTCACAACAGCCTCAGGCAAGTCATTTTACTTCCTAAGTGTTTCTGTTTCCTTCTTCATGTCTTTTCAAACTCTTTGAGGTTAGGACTATCTCTTATTATGTGTATGCATAATATTGTCTACAGTGAGATCCTAATCTCAGACCAAGCCTCTGTACATTGCTGTAGCATAAGTAATAATAGTAATAGCACACTTTAGGGTTTTAAAGCATACTTGTATTTTAATGATGGTAAAATGTCCTTGTGTGGTTCTCAATAACTTCATAACTCATCTGCAGCTTGTAACTTTATCGTGCAACTTACAAATAAAGAGGTGGTTGGTGGGGAGCCATTAACCATCAACCCTGTGGGGTGAACCCAGGGTTGAAAATCCATGCAGGTTCTTTTCTGGCATGTACTTCCTTGGCCTGCAGTAAAGGTTCTACGGGGCAGCATTGGTGATGCGTAGGGGGTGCACACGGGTGCACGTGCATCCCCTGAGATGGACTGTGCACCCCCTGGAAACCCAGCTGCAAAACCGGAAGTGCCACCGGAAGTGCTACCACTGGCTCGGTGATCTAGACTTGGGAGGCACCAGTCACTCATGCCGGGCAGTTTCTACCGTCCTTTACACGCATCAAGCCCTGCTGTCCTTGAGCATTGTTTTTTGTTATACTTGTGGAAGATGGTTGTGCAGAGTGTGTTAGCAGTGCCTGAGTTTGTGCAGGTGGGAGTAGATTGCAGCCCCCTGTGGGGCCAACAGACAAGAAGGGGAGGAAGAGCTCAAGTCTTAGGCAGAAGGTCAACATGAGAGACTCCAGATCTATCGATCAGATAAGGCGGGGGATGCCATGCAGGCATGGTCCCGTTCTTGGAGCAGATTCAGAACAGAACAAAAGCGGAAATGGCCTGGATTGCTGCTAACTACCAGCAGCAGCTGAGGCAGGCTCATTAGGACTCGTGTGGGAGCTGGTCCTGAATTTCCCAGTCGAAGTGGTCATTGAGCAGCGCCAGCCCACCTTCCCATGCCATCTCCCTCCCCTGCTTTTCTGGCTTCTCTCCTTGTAGGCAGTGGTCCAGTGGCACCATTGAAGCAAACAGAACATGAACTGCAACTCAGAGGGAGATTCAGTGGGTTTTCACTCATTCTCCTCTCTCCCTGCATGCCCATCTCCTTATATTCTTCTCTGCTCCCACATGAGTTGGCAGCAGTAATAGTGCTGCAGCAGCAACCTTTTGATCGAGAGAGGAGTCATGCCTTAGTGTTGGTAGCGCCTGGGGGCTGTAATTCAGCATAGGGGCTGCAGGAGGTGCCTCATCTGGGCTTTCCTGTGGGTGGTAATAAAGCAGGGAGAAGCAGTCACATATTGGTACTGGTGGTTCCCAGAGAGTATAATAAAGCTGAAGCAGTGCAATGGTATCTTGGTATCAGAGTTTTCTATGAGCTGTGTTGTAATGAATAGAGGATGCGGTTGCAGCTGATGGGGGAGGCTCTCAGAAGCTGTTGGATGCAGACCCACTCTACTGTTCTCTATGCAAGCATGAGACGTGGTCACTATTAATAGGCCCAAAATCTGAACTTGCTTACTGATGCTCGCACTCTGTTTTCTATTCTCAAATGCCTCCTGGGTTGATTTATCTCTGTAACAGGCTTCAAAATGAAAGCTGCAATAGGGTTTCAAACCCCAGCCTGGGAACCCATCAGGTCTCTGGGCCTTTTGTGAATGGGAACTTGTTTGAGACAGGACTTCATACAAGCTCCCCCACCCCACTTCTCCCTGTCAACATTTGCTTGGACCATTTTTGCTGAGCCGTGAGGTAGGCAGTCCTGATAGGAGCCCCAGAGCATCTCCTTGCTCCTCTGTTCTGGGGTCACTTTCACCATCATGGAAATGGTCCAGTTCGGTGTTTCAGTCAAGTGGGAAGCTAGATCTGATGACAAGCTGGAATGCCTTGTTGTTGGGGCTACAGATACATCATTTAAAACATGACAAGGTGGGGATTACAACCATGGAGCTTCAGTCGCTGCAAAGAGGTGTGCTTTCTGCTAATAGCTCTTTCAGCCTAGCTAACACTATGCTCTGGTCAGTGATTGGGGCTTGAGGACTCTATCACAGGCAGCCCATCCGTCATACCTGTGCAGGATTTCTGCAGGGCCATATAGATGCCATGGAGAGAATTTTTCTTAGAAAAATGCTAGAACTGTTGCTGCTTTATACTGCCCTCTCTGAGCTTCCTGCTGCTTTCCCTGAAGGTCCCCTCAGGGCCTGCTGCTGGTTGGCCCTTGTCTGCTCTGAGCATCCCTTGGCTCCCCTCTGAATCCGCTGCTTGTCATTGAGATGTGCAGTAAAGTTAATGCCTCTCCTTTCCCCCTCCCCAGGTCTGAGAGCAGTTTCTCTAAGTTTGCCCATCGCTTATCAGTTAAGCAGAAGCAGGAGAAGAGGAGGAAAGCTGAGTATGTCTCGGCTGAGCTGGCCGCCTTCCGTCCCAGGTCTCTGAGCATTGAATGGTAAGAGCTGCAAGGCAGGGCTGAAAGGAAGGGATCTTGGGACTCTATCCCTGAGCTTTCTGATGATGCTCCTGCAGAGCTGAGTGCTCTCTGGGGTCACCTGGGCTTCCCCACTGCTGTCCCTGCCTGCTAGTTCCAAGTAACAGCCATGAGTCCAGAGAGAGGGTTGTTTCAGTGATGTGATTCCCAATTGCACTTCTTCCCTCTGATGATACAAGGTGCATTGACAATGCTGTAAGGCCCAGGCAGTATTTAGGAATTAGGGAGCAGCCACTGTGTCCCAGGGCTAAGAGTGGGTTACCACGGGGTCAGGCACTTTCCTGGTGACATGGGGCAGAGAGCAAAGGTCCTTCCATTGTCTTAAGTGTATGAAGTAAAGGGACTCTCAGTGAATCCTCAATGAGACCTTCCAGTGTGTGGAGCAGCAGGGACCCGTGATTACCCCTCCAGCTGGTGAAGCAGAGGGGATTCCCCCAGACAGGCCCTACCAGATGTGTGAAACGGGGGGAACTTCAGATTAAGAGGTCAGAGTAGAGAAAGTTCCTTCTGAAGATGGGATGAAGAGGATCATGGCGGGGTTAAAGGTACAAAACGAAGACACCTCCCATCCCCACTGGGGTTGGGGAGAGAGGGAACTCTGGGGTTAAAGGCATAGAAGGAAACATCGCCCCATTGCAGCGTTGGAGTGAGGCCTCTCTGGGTGCTAGTAGATTGGGTACACCTCTTCAGGATCTGGAGCCAGCACTGTATATGCTAGCCTGCCCTGTTAGTCTGTGACTTTCTCTCCTGCCTGAGCAGTGAGCATGCTCTGGGTGTCATGTGGGAGGCTCTGGTGGATGGCTGCAGCATCACTGGTTCTTTCCATTAAGATCATTATAAGTTCTAGCTGAATAAACCAACTCCCTGCATGCCGTTGCAAGCCAAGGGCATGTGGCCCCTGTCCTGCTGGGTGTAGCTTTGGCAGAGGCTGAAAGAAGCCATGAGGCCAGTGCCTGATCTTGAGAAGCTTCTGATCCCCTTTGTGTTCCCCTTTTGGTGAGTATTCAAGGGTAGGGCAGGGAACTGAAGCACCTGCAGGGTGCTCTGCCCATTGCTCCCACCCCTCCCGTCATTCCACATCTAGCTCCCACCCATCCTCTTCTAGCAGCCACCTTGAAAACACTGCCCCAGGTGACACACCAGCCAGCCACACCTCAGCTGGAGATGCCTGCCATTATAGGAGGCTTCCTTTTGGTAGGAGCACAGGGCCTGGGGGGTCTAGATACTTAGGATCTGTTCCTTGCTCTGGCATTGACTTGCTCTGAACATCTCAGTGCCTTATTCCCTCCCTATAACAGGGGCAATGAAATTGCCTAACTTTAGGAGGTGACTTTGAGATTTTTGTGTGTAAAGTGCTCGAAAGTTGCATAAGTGCTGTTATGTGGGTGTGACTCAGAGGGGCCAGCACACAGCAGTGCTCTGTCTTGAGTTAAGCCATCAGCTTTATTCTGATCCTGCAGCCCCTGGTTGAGGAAGAAATAATTTATCTTTGTTTGTAAGATTTGAGGAGGCAGGTTTAGCATTAGACCATAGTTCAGTCCTTCGAGCAAAGGACTTTTGACAAATCGTTCCCTTTTTTTTAGTTCCTTACATGGATAAAGATGGCCAGAACTACAAACATTTCTTTAGACATTACAGATGTTTGCTTCTTCTGGAGATCTCAGGGACACTTATTGTAAGCTGTAACACCTTACATGGAAGTGAGATGCTGTTGAATCCTTCACAAAGGCATCCTTTATTCATGATGTTAATTAGGCATCAAAGCTAAATAGGTATTAATGAAACCTTAAACAATTGGACTTAAAGTTGCTTTCCTTTCTGGTCACTCAATTTCCCCTCTCTTCTTATGCCTGGACTTCAGTAGTCCTCCAATTATCAGAGACTTTTCCAAATGAGACAAGACCTGAATTTCTTATGTACAAAACAACTGAAAAAAAAGCCCCAGTTTTCTAGAAATAATAAACTAAACATCTTTGTCTAGCATAAAAAGACACTGGCTCATTTTTCCATTTGCAGGTCCCGATTAAACATTTAATTCCTACAGAGTTTTTGGATTATCCCTGTGGTATAATTTAGCTTATACTGCAAGTTTTTTTTCAAAGAAATTGTCTGTCTTATTTGTGTTTGTGTACTACCTTGTACAGCGATGTCACTGCAACAATAACAAAGGATGATATTTTATGAGGTTTTGTAAGTGGCCTGTAAACTAAACTTCAGTGAGGGACTCACCATCCCACCATCAAACTTTCCAAGTACAATTGCTTTTCATAACAATAAACTCAGCAGCTCCAATGTTTTTACTGTGTAAAAAGCTGCGTATCCAAGGTCCAGAGAGAAGATTTCAGTAGAGCGGATTATTATTATTAATGCCACTGCTTCAGAATTGAGACCTTTTATCTAAATACCTCAAGCTCTTCAACATGCATTCACTCATTAAACCCACAGGACTCTCTTAGATGGGGAAGTATTATCATCCCCACTTTCCAGATGGGGAAAAAGTAAGGCACAGACAGGCCATGGCCAAAATATGTTAAAGTGCCCATTAATTTTGGGTGCCCAAGCTGATGCACTTAGGGCCTGATTTGCAAAGGTATTGAACTCCATCTGAGGGTGCTGAAGGCACTGGCCGACATCATTGCAGAGCCACTGGCGGGAATATTTGAACGCTCGTGGCGCACGGGCCAAGTCCCGGAGGACTGGAAAAGGGCCAATGTGGTCCCCATTTTCAAGAAGGGGAGGAAGGAGGACCCGGGCAACTATAGGCCAGTCAGTCTCACCTCCATCCTTGGCAAAGTCTTTGAAAAAATTATCAAGGCTCACATTTGCGAGAGCCCGGCAGGACAAATTATGCTGAGGGGAAACCAGCACGGGCTCGTGGCAGGCAGATTGTGCCTGACCAATCTAGTCTCTTTTTATGACCAGGTTACGAAATGCCTGGACACAGGAGGAGGGGTGGATGTCATATACTTAGACTTCAGGAAGGCCTTCGATACGGTATCCTACCCCATACTGGTGAACAAATTAAGAGGCTGTGACTTTGATGACTACACAGTCCGGTGGGTGGCGAATTGGCTAGAGGGTCGCACCCAGAGAGTCGTGGTGGATGGGTCGGCTTCGACCTGGAAGGGTGTGGGCAGTGGGGTCCCGCAGGGCTCGGTCCTTGGACCAATACTCTTTAATGTCTTCATCAGCGACTTGGACGAGGGAGTGAAATGTACTCTGTCCAAGTTTGCAGATGACACAAAGCTATGGGGAGAAGTGGACACGCCGGAGGGCAGGGAACAGCTGCAAGCAGACCTGGACAGGTTGGACAAGTGGGCAGAAAACAACAGAATGCAATTCAACAAGGAGAAAGACAAAGTGCTGCACCTAGGGAGGAAAAATGTCCAGCACACCTACAGCCTAGGGAATGACCTGCTGGGTGGCACGGAAGTGGAAAGGGATCTTGGAGTCCAAGTGGACTCCAAGATGAACCTGAGTCGGCAGTGTGAC